AACAGAAATCCCCCCCTGCCATGGGCAAATTTTGGGGGGGGGATGTGGGGGGGGGTGCTAAAAAAAAAGAGAAAAAAAAAGAAAAAATTATCGCTCAAAACGCTTCAGACGGTAATTTTAGACGTCTAGAAAACAAAATTGACCCCGGACCCTTCAGGGTGGTATATTATCTCGATCGGCCCCCTTTCGGCCCCCACCCCACCCTGATAGTGATAAGCCCAGTCACCCGTCGGACACGTCAAGCCTCTTCCCGTTGGCTACGTCAAAACAGCTAATGGTTAAACTTGCCAGTTTTTCTAGGCGTCGCTTCGTCTGGATGTTCCCACTTCCCCACCACACCCACACCCGTCGAACAAATCCTGGCGCCGACACTGTTGTCTCAGCCATGTGGGGTTAAAAAGTTCGGCATATCTGCTACTAGAGGTCGTGCTTCTCTTGATACGCGGCGTAGGCTTACGCTTACACATCGTCGGCCCCTACTTTTTGGCAGAAAATATATGTCTATGGAGATTATTGTATGATCGGAAAGAAATGCAAGAAGAGAAAGAGGGAGGAAGGAGAGGGAGGGGAAAGAGAGTGTTTATCCAGTTCAAGACAGAGTTAAATCTTCTCGCAATTCACATTGGCGGATCTGGGGGAGGAGATAAGGGCTCCGGACCCCCCTCCTTTGGGCAAGAAAAAGAATTCTAACCTACCTTTTTAGAACACGTGAACTGAGAACTAAGAACTTAAAAATCATTAAAAGAAATCATTTAGAAATCAACATTTTCCAGGGGAGAACCCGAACCCGGCTTTCTCTTTGTGTTCATTGATTCATAAAATCGTTTTAAAGAGGAGAAAACCTTAATTTTGAAGAACTTAAAAGTCATTAAAAGACACCTCAGACGTCGGAAAAGCTCATTTCCCGCCATCTAGGAATCAAAATTTTCCCGGACCTCTCTTTCTCTTTGGGGTTTATCGATTCATGGAAGAAAAGAATACGTACGCAACTCTCAATTTTGGTTATGTATTGCACATAACAGGCCTATTCACTGTGTAATAAGAATGAGAAAGTTAAAACCTTGAATTTTTAAGAACTTAAATTCTTTAAAAGACCCTAGCTCAAAAGTCGGGAAAGCTCATTTCCCGCGCGCGCCATCTAGGAATCAAAATTTCCCCGGGGAGGACCCCACTCCCTTCTTTTTGGGAGGTTTTGAGAAACATTTTGACCCGCACCTCCCTAATTTGAACCCAGATCCCCCTGATTCGTATTCCCATTCATCTTACTAGTTCCCCGCAACCCCCCTCCCCTCCCCCAACCACGCATTGCAAAACGTTCTGCCGGCCTTTTACGTCTGACCGCCCGATTAATGGTCCGATTGATGAATGTACAGAATAAAGTACTCGACTCAAACTGTCAAGCATTAGCCGAACGATTGAGGACTGACCAATCGACAAACGAGAAAACAACGTGAGTTTAATATATTACTGTATAATAATAAAAGTCTACCGTATCTCATGACTCTCATGAAACACTGGGCATGAACAAATCTAGTTTTTGTTTTCTTGCTTCATATTTGTATAGGGGTGCCTCGCGAATTGGCCCGATTGGGTGGGGGTGTGGTGGTCCAATGTCCTCGAAGGGGGTCCGGGTCCCCAACGTAGGTGGACAGTGCCCGGGAATGTCCAAAGGCACTGAAGTGGGTTTCTGGAAAACAGCCCTGAAACCTCTAAAATTTAAATATTTCGAAGGCTTATTTAATCGATTCTCACAACCTGTAGAGAATTTGTTTTTCTCCCCGAAATTTGTGGGTTTTCTCACCAACGGATATCGCTCCCTGACAAGTGCCTTCACCCGAACCCCTCCCCACTGGTACCATTCAGATCTTTTATTCTTTCGTAATGAATTTTATTTTTAATTTTTAAGAATGCGGTTTGATGTTTATAGCGAACGATTTTAATTGCTCGAAAAAAAAAATTAAAAAAAAAAAAAACCCAAAGCTGTTGCTATCATAGGCCAAAAAAAATTGTTTGTTTACCCGTCTTTTTTATTTTAAAAAATGATAAATAAGGACGGGTGGAAAAAGTTTTTTTTTTTTTTTTTTTTTTTTTTTTTTTTTTTTTTTTATTTATTTTTTTTTAAGATAGGCCTACTTATCAGATGGAATAAAAATAACCCACAGAGGCCTAGAATGGCAATATCTTACATCAGACAACAACCTTAGACAAATTCACTCACATTTTTTTTTTTATTTGTAAAGAAAAATCTAAAAAAAACCCTTTCTTTTTCCGCCCCTATTTTTTTTTCAGTGAGTTAGGGGCGGGTGGAGGAGGGCAAACAAACATTTTTCTTTTCGGCCGAATACTTGTTTAGATTAGATAATCATTCTTGTGAAGTCAAGTAGGCCAACTACGTAATGTCATAATTTACAAGATTATGCTCTAAAATATTGTATATTCCTACGCCCTTCAGGAGGAAATTTTCAAATGACAGAAATCATTTTAAATTGCCAGCAAATAATTTTGTTTATTTCAAATTTTCAAATTGGATTCAATAAGATAGGAGAACATATACAATTTAATATAAAGCTAAATATTTAATATACAGAAAATAAAAAACGATTAAAAAAAATCAATAAAATTGATATCAGAATATACAATAGTATTAACAACTTTTCCGATCCAGAATTCTTGAATAAATTGAATTCAATTTCGATAACCACCACAAAAGTCAAGATAAATGATGAAAATCAATAAATATGAGCATCAAAACATACAAAGGGCAGATGGAATAAGCCAGTTCATGGTTTGACCTGCCCATGACCGTATTCGTGGTCAATTAAGGTCATTCAACATAACCTATGGTG